CTACATTTTATTTTTTTTTTTGTATGAAAAGTGCTTTATAAATAAAGATTGATTGATTGATTGATTAATGCTACATAACATTAGAGCTCTATGAAACATCATTGTGAAAGATTGATCTGTGCTACTGATCAGTAACTTTGTGTCTTTTTGATGATTTGTTGATGTTTTGAAGGTAAAGTTTGACGACTGTGTTATTTGTGTTGTGCACGTGTGGATCTATCACCGGTCTCTCATGCTCAGTCTGCTGTGTTTGCTGCAGACTCTGTATTTTGACCAGTTTACAGTAACTCGATGTACCTGATCCTGGTTTTGTTTTTTAAAATCATGAAGGCTGTGTAATGCTGTGCAGATGAACGGGACGGCTGTGCAGTCAGACTCCTCTCTAAGCAGACACCTGCGTGGGTTTTTGAAGTTACAAGCAGTTGCACTCGTGAAATGAAAATATTTGCTCCGATTATGTTTTCTTTCTTCACGTGTGACTGATGACAACCAATCACTGCACAGCCATCTGCCATGACAACACGGGGTCAGGGCGGGCAGAGCTGCGACACACATGATGTTAATAAGCATTCAGCACGTTGGTGGCACAACACACATGATCACACATGCTGTGAAAACACATTTGCCCTTTTCATGACTTCTTAGTTATTTGCACATTTGTCACACTTACATATTTCAGTTTTAAATAAAGATTTCCTTCATCATGCCTGGATCTACACTCAGACATGATTATCAGCAGAGCTGAGGATCAAGAAATCACTTAGACGCTTTCTGACAAAGGGAAGTGGAACAAAAGATCAAAAAGCATCTAAAGGAAATCATGAGAAACCGATGAGTCATTCCAACAGTTCATGTCCTGAAGGTTAAGCACACGTGTGCTGTGGAGCTGAAACACCAGCAGCTCCACCTCTGAGTGGCTCAAACGAACAAAAAGACTTCAGTTTGATGTCATCTCATGAAGCTGTTCTTTGCCCACTGAAACACGTATTAAGGCTGAATTCATTTCCCCTTTTTAAGCCTTTTTCTCTGTTAACTAAAAACTGCATTTCGTATCTACTCAGGTTATTTTATCTAAAAAGATATTAAAATGTGTTTGATGATCAGAGAGTGCATTAAGTGTGACAAATCAGCAAAATGCTTTTTCACAGCAGTGTGTATCGTGTTCATGAAATTCATCCCTATATCCATGTTAAAACACAAATGAGCTGTTTCTACTCAGAGTTCTGTCACCATCATAAAAATGAGGCAACACAACATCATTGATGTTACTGTGGTACATCACTTTCTGCAGAATAAGAAAAGATCTTTGAATTTGAATTCATACAAATGAATTTCAAACACAGCCACTCACCAACCTCACACTGGGCTGCTTCCTCCAGAGCAGAATACACTCCACAGGAACAACTGTGAGCACATCTCCACGCACACTCACCTACACACTAAATACAATCTGCAGAATCTTACAGTTAATGTCAGCACGCAAGTCAAAGCTGAGAATAAGATTTCTATCAACAACATCAAGAACAAAAGCATCTCTCCTCAAGGACAGTTTAACCTCCGCAGCATCACTACATCAACAAACAGCGTCATGTCCATGTTAGAAGATGATACTGTGGTGTGACTGCACGCTAACAAAGGTAAACTTGGTGTGTGTGTGGATGGACCTACCTGAGAGAGGGGAGCAGGCTAATGCAGAGGGCTCTGCTCTGTTTCTGAGTGCAGCTTTATACTGGCAGCTCTGCATGGCTGCGTTTGCCTCTGATTGGACAGATGGTGAAGGAGGGCTGCACTGGCAGCCAATACTTGAGCTTTCTGTGATGAACACAGTCAAGCTGAGAGGAGATCATCTTGTCCTCTTGGACTCGTTCTATCTACACTGGGACTGAAACACGTGCTTATTTCTTCTCTCTGGGAGGGACGGACATGAATTTAGATTTCACTACTTATCTTTGAAATTAAACCTACATTAAATTCAGTTCAAGTCACTTCAGTTTGGTTTTATTTATATAGCACCGTGTGACAACAACAGCTGGCTCAAGACACTTATAGACCCCACACTAATGCAGAGAGAACCCCAACCATCAGAAGACCTGCTGTGAGCAAACACATACAAGTGTATCATGCTATCATCCTATTGCAGCATAACTAAGGGAGGATTCAGGGTCACCTGGTCCAGCCCTAACTATATGCTTTAGCAAAAAGGAAAGTTTGAAGCCTAATCTTGAAAGTAGAGATAGTGTCTGTCTCCTGAATCCAAACTGGAAGCTGGTTCCACAGAAGAGGGGCCTGAAAACTGAAGGCTCTCCCTCCCATTCTACTTTTAAATACTCTAGGAACAACAAGTAGGCCTGCAGAGCGGGAGCGAAGTGCTCTAATAGGGTGATATGGTACTACAAGGTCATTAAGATAAGATGGGGCCTGATTATTTAAGACCTTGTATGTGAGGAGCAGGATTTTGAATTCTGGATTTAACAGGAAGCCAAAACAGGAGAAATCTGCTCTCTTTCAGTACTGTCTGCAGTATTTTGGATCAGCTAAAGAGTTTTCAGTTTTACGATCATGTGATTAGTAATAAATACATGATCTAGGTTTTCAGCATAATTCTGAGACGTTTCTAATTTTAGAGATGATGCACAAATACAAGAAAGCAGTTCTGCATTTGTTTAATATTTGCATTACAGGACATCCTGGCCACATCTCACTGA